TATTATATTTTATTTCAATATAAATATAAATATAAATATTTATATATTTATATTGCATTTTACTTTTATTTTCGAGATCGTAGTAATTCTTGCCCGAGAATGACTTCAGCAATCAGATGAATAGACAGTTCCATTAACTTTCACTTTGCTTACATCTCTCGATGCCATCTCCTCCAAGCTGGACTCGAATGGATAGAATTGAATTAGCCTGAAATTAGCCAAATTGGATTGGATTAAACTGAACTGGATTGGACTGGACTAAACTCAACTCAACTTAACTCGAGTAAACTAGATTGAATTTGATTTTTTAATATTGAATGTAGTCTATCATATCGGATTGGATTACATTATATTTTATTTCAGTATATATATTTATATTTATATTTATATTGTATTTTACTCTTATTTTCGAGATCGTGAGTAATTCTTGCCCGAGAATGACGTCAGCAATCAGATGGATAGACAGTTTCATCAACTTTCACTTTGATTACATCTCACGATGCCATCTCCAAGATGGACTCGACTGGATAGAATTGAATTAGCTTGAAATTAGCCAAATTGGATTGGATTAAATTGAACTGGATTGGATTAAATTGAACTGGATTGGACTGAACTAAACTCAACTCAACTTAACTCAACTCAACTCGAGTAAACTGGATTGAATTTGATTATCTTGATAGTGAATGTAGTGTATCGTATCGGTTTGGATTAAATTATATTTTATTTCAATACATATACGCGCATACGGAAGCCGGAATGCGCTGAACCGAGGGGGAGAGGAAGTAAATAACGTCACTCGTTTGTGTCTTTCTGCAATGCCTCGGCACTTCTGCGGCTCGGCGTCGAAGAGCACTTCTGCGAGCCGGCACGGCTCCTCCGCCTCGACCGGAGGTACAATCGAGCCGACAACCGCCAGAAGACAAATTCACCAATCGGCCCAACTGAAAGAGACAACTCGCAGTCGACGAGGTACCGTTGCCTCAGTTGATCAATTGCAAAAGTGAAAGTATACCATTTTGCAGACTCCTATAAACGGTACCAAGCTGAGTCGGTGTATAGGAATTTCGCTCTCCGACCCGCCCTCGGATGAGCATGTGTATCCACGTGTATATATATGTGTGTGTGTGTGTGTGTGT